GGAAGAAAGTTGTCTGCTTTCAAAAGGGACCTTCCCGTGGCCAGTCCCAAGCAGGTACATCCTTTTAGCAGTGAGTGAGGAACCTAAGCCCGAGAGGAACAGCTGTACCAACCTCTTGTCTGTGGTGCTGAGTCTTCAGGTGTCCTTGTAGACTACCTGGCTACTCAGAGCGTGCAAACAGGTGTTTGTGTTCTCTTAAATGTTTCCTCCTGACACCTCTCTGTGGTAAGACCACTAACTATACAGCATATGTAGCAACAAGGAGCCAGAATTTGAGGTTTTGAAGACTTCTGTTAGCCTGAAACTATTTTCACAAACTGAAGGAGTCTTAGGGATACTTGAGGAAAATACTTTTTTTCCTCACCTTGAAGTGATTTCTGTGTGTCTGCCCACAGTGGAGTTGGAATAAGGTCTATTTCTACTAATCATAGAAGACTGATCAGATTTTAAGAGCACCCCACTATCCCTCCAAAGCACTGTATCATTCTAATTTTTATAGCATTTTGTTCCCCACAGAAGACATACTGTGCATTATACTTCTTCATTCTCACTTTATCTCTTTCTCCTTCAATAATAAATTATTTTTGAGGGAAAGGATGATCCTGCAGGAGAGATGCTATCTTAGAATTCAGATATGTAGGTTTGTTTCCAGAAGACATCCAATTCATCATCTGTGAATTGAAGATAATGTTGCTTTTTCTATTTTCCAAGAAACTTGTCAAAATGAGTCCGCTGCGGACAGAAAGGCATTCAGACAGTATGAGGAGTGTTGTGGAAGGAATTAAGTGTTCTCTGCTCTAAAACAATGGAATGAATGCCAAGCAGCAGCAGTATGAAATGAGGGAAATTAAGCTCTGGCCCAAACCAGGTGTTTTTCATTCCCACGGTTCATTGGATCTGGCTGTGATTTGGATGTCAGATAACAACACACTGTCATTTATTTAGCTGAACCGAATCACTTCATTATTACGAGGTGCTAAGTGATCTGCACAGTGATATTTTCTAATGTTATTTGGCACACATGAAATAAAAACAGGAGTAAAACTTGTAAAAATAACTTCTGGTATAGAAAAGATACTGATCGTGTGATTTACCAAAAAAGCAGCTGGAGCACATGGAATAGTTTACATGGCTTTCCAGATCCTACTAATATCACTTTTCATTCTAAAAGTATTCAGATGATACTTAAAACTTTTACTGAAAGCTTTCATTACTTTTTAATGGATATTACCCTTTAAACTTGTTGTTTTAAATCCCCTTGGTTGAGAAAGACTTCAAATCAAATTCTATCTTTAATGATGCCTTTTTGAGCTATGTCCCACTTTTCATTTGAAGCTGAGGAAATGTTTTTAATCTTTTGTAGGTGCACAGTTGAACAATCTAACTTAGCAGTGGTTTTATACCACTACTAATTGCCATTTAATTACTTTATTCTGCATGAGCATTCATTTGTACATTGCAGGAAACAATGGATGTAAAGTAAATGATTCATTTTTTTTAGAATGACATTCTCAAACTTTTAAAATCATGCTATTAGGACTTTTTGGCTAAAAGTTCATAGGGAACTTTCATAGGGAACTTTCATAGGGAACAGCTATTGAATCAGCCACCCACCCCCAGCTTGAACACCGATGTAGAAAGTGGATCTGGAGAAAAGGATGGTTGTTTGATATTTTTGCATGTTTTAACTTAGGCCAAAATCCAAATTATACTGAAGTCAATCTACCATGATGACTCCAGAGATATACTTTATTTCTATATGGCTCTGTAGCTGCTGACAGACAGTTTCCTTCCTCTTTTCCCCCCCACTTTTATTGTTGGAAGAGGTGCATATCAGACTTGACCTAAAGGATTTTCATCAGCTCCAAGAAAGAGCATTGGTGCCCTTCCCTTTATCTTGTTGTGATGTGACATTTTGACACTCTGTCAATTAGTGAACAATCTTAGTTTTCTTTTTCAAAATGTAACACTTTCATTACTTGTGAATCATTGTTTCCAAGACAACTTGCAACATACCACAGTGAAACCTCCTCGTTCTCTTTCCCATATTTTGACGTGAATTTGAGAGTTTGTTTACTTCAAAAATCAAAACAAAACATGGGGAATACGAAGAGAAGAGAAAAATAGGTTTAAATGTAGGACAGCAAGCACTAAGAAAACATTAATAAAATTAATAAAAAGTATGTGGTGTATTATGCCTCTACTATAAAGTCTGTGCATTTGGGTTATTCAAGGAAGTTGGGTTACATCAACTAGTTACATATTATTCATTTTTGGGTTTCTCTTCAGGCAGTGTGGAAGTCAGCTGGAGAGTCTGGAGGCAGAGGAAGGTCACTGCTTTCTGGGGGGACTCCCCGAGCCTGATCCCTGCTGGAGGTGGGGGAGATGCAGGCTGGTGACAACACATGTGGCAATTGGACCTGGGATCCCCAGGCTGATGCCAAGCCTGGCAGCCAGACCTCACATGGCAACAGCCTTGCAGACCCAAAGATGAATTGGCTGTGTTGTTTTCCAGGATTTCATCTTCTTGATGTAAAGACTTGTCCAAGGAAAACTCGTTACTGTACAAAGTATGTACTCGTGTATCTGTCTGTCTGCCAGTGCATGTAAATATACACTGGCACTGATAGCAGTGTAGGAGTTACATTTAAAAAAAAATAAAAATATTGCAAATCTGCATGATAGAGACAACTGCATAATTAGAATATCAGTCTGGAATAGTAATGATTTAATTCAAGTTGTATCTTAATTCTACATAACTGTCAAGAAGCTCTAGGTACAAAAGAAAGTGTTTTTTTCATTCCAGGCTCAACGGAACACTGGATTCTGCATTTTTACATTTTTGTTCAGGAAGTATTCATGAATTCCATACTTGCATCTGAATTTTCACCTTCCTTAAAATTCAGGGATGTCTGAATGCACCACGCTTTGTTCCTTATTTCCTTCCCTCTGCACTTACTGCTAATCTATTAGTCATTGTTCATCTACTCCTGGTATGCATTTTTAATTTGAATAGCACGTGTTGAAATGCTTTCAGACATGAGTGGTTTGGATGCTAGTGACATAATTACTGCCTTTTATTAGATAAGCAGTGTGTTACGTTAATAAACATAATCATCTATGCTCATAACAGACTTTTGTTGCGATGTAAAATACACAGTTAATGATTTTGAATGCAAATGTGTTCTCAAGGCAAGTAAATGAAGATATGCCCAGCTGGAAAGTTTGAGGATGTTGAAACAAGGAAAATTAAAAATTAAGGCAAATTCTATCATCAGAGAAAAAGAAGTAATGTCTTCTAACTTCAGACTTCTAACTTCATTCATTGAATGAGTTTCTTTTTAAATCACTTTGAGCGCAAAACCGTCTCTTCTATTTTTGAAGGCAGGGATGGAAAGGTTACTATAGATGAACCTGTATGTGATGCATCCTTCCTGCACGGATCTCATCTCTGTTTGGTTCCACCCAGCCCAGCAGGCAGGCTGGGAGAGAGGGTTGTGCTGATGGCTCAGCCTTCAGCGGCTCCCCAGGGCCTGCCTGCCCCGGTGGATCTGCCTGCTGGCACAGCCCTCCTGCCTGCTGTTTGATTGCTCCCTCTCAACACAAAACTCTCTTTATTCCAACTGTATCACTAGTATGGGAGTTTGACAAAGTATTTTTATACTTACTTGCCTTTGTAGAGTTGGACTTTCAGCTCTCTTAGCTCAGCACACTTCCTGTGGTCTAGGCTATGGCCAAGCATCTGTATATATACATAAATGATTTCCAAGAAATGTCTTATCCATTCACTCAGCTTAAGGGAGAGGTCACATATTTATTCCTAAAACTGAAAACCTTGTGTGTCACAGAGAGGGCCCATCAGTGCTGTAATGCCCTTGCTTTGGTAAAAAGAGAGAGTCTGAAAATAGTGACAGTGGTAGAAACAACCAGTGAAATTTGTCTCCTTTGAAGAGGGGTGTGTATGGACTAGAACTAGTCTGGGATGTCAAGACTGTTGCTATCAAGCAAGAAATGGCACTGTTATCACTAAACTGAAAGGTCAGCTCTGTTGGAAGTGCCAATTACTTGTAATGTATGAAGTGGGTTTCTTGGTCTAATTGGGAAATATTTTAAAAAGACAGTAGAAATCATGTGAGTGAGTTGTGAACTTAGTGTTCCTCCAGGCGAATTACTGGGATGGATTCCTAGGGGAGATGGGGAAAATGCTTCTGAAAAAGTGTGACAGATGTCTTTTGGGCATCAGAGCCTTGTTAACAGTCTCCTGCCTTTGTCCTGGGTTTACTGCACCAATATAAAGTTTAAAACTGCTGAAGTGGGAATTCAAACAGACTTCAGGAAATAATCTTCGTGCAGTGCTTTGCCACACTGTGAGCTTTCAGAGATGGCTGCTGTACTTCACCCTATAATTTTCACGTGCATAAATGGAGAGCAAAGACAAAATGCTATCAATGGAGGAGTTTGCCACACATCCACCGTGGACTCTTTACATCCTTAAATGTATACTAATAAATAATATATCATACATACTCACAGTGTTTGATTGCCTAGAGGAGCTGCCTCTAACTTTTGTCTGTACATCTGTGATGTGTTGAGCAATTTTTCTGTCCTTGCTTTTTTTTTTTTTTTTAACCTGATGAATTCCTGGTGAAAGCTTTCCCTTGGCTCATGATGCAAAAATAACATTGTCTGCAAACTACTGCTGGTGTTTTAAGGTCACTCCAGGTCCTGCAGAAGGTAAAGAAACTGTGCCCAAGGTCTGACTGCCTTTGCTTGCTGCTCTTGCCTCCTGCATTCATAGAGGCTCCTTGGTGGATCCTGTGAAGCTGAGGACACAGGATGCCCAGATAACAAAAAGGACAAAGCATAGTCAGAATCAAGAGGGATTTGGTTTGGTTGTTGGGGTTTTTTTGGTTGTTTTGTTTGTTTTTTTTTTCTGTAGGACACATCACTCTCATTGTAAAATTGTCCCAATCACTTTCTTGTTTTGCCTCTTTTAACAGAGCGATGAGGTTTTAACCGTCATCAAAGCCAAAGCGCAGTGGCCAGCCTGGCAACCTCTGAATGTGTAAGTAAGTGGGGAATTGTGTGCCTCAATAGCCTTGTGTTGAGTGCGGGCTAAAGGGCCACTCTAATTGTCTCACATAACCATTCACTCTGGTAAAGAAATAATCTAAAAATATGTTGATAAATGAAGGGGGGGGGGGGGTTTGTTGGTTTGGTTGGTTTGGGGGTTTTTTGGTCTTTTTTTTGTTGTTGTTTTTTGATTTCTTTTGGGGGGGTATGGAGAGTTTTTTGCTTTTAGTTTGGTTTTTTTTTGTTTGTTTGTTTGTTTTCCCAGCAACTGCTTCTCTCTTTCCTTTCTCTTTAGCATGTCTTCGTTTTTTACATGCTTTGGTTCACTCACTGTTGCAGCAGGATTATCCTGTGGAGTTTGTGCCTTCTACAAATAAGTGGTGATGTTTATTCTATGCTTGCTCAAATATACGTCATACTATTGTAGGAGCAGTATTTTTTAGCATCCTGCCTCAAAGAATTTGACAATGCTTTGTATCAATACAGCAAATCCTCATCCACCAGCTCTCAGTCTAAAGGACCAATTCTTCAAAATTACCTGTCTGAAACATTCCATGGCAGTAGCATCATGATCCTGATGGTACTGTAACCATCACTTGGTTGCTTCACCGAGACAGCAAACTGACTTCCCAGGGTCCTCTCTCTGGCACTCAGCAGAAAAGAGGACAAAACTCTTCTTTCTGGATATTCTTGAGTTTACTGGTGGCCTTTTGAGGGAGGTGGGGGAGGTGTCAGGGCAGGGTGATGTTTCTCAAATAACTTATCTGTACTTGGCCCAAAGTTGATACTATCCAAGCCCAAATGAGCCAGTCTTACAAGAATTGACTAAAGATGAGAGCTCAGTAGAAGGGGTCACCCAATTAGCTGACAGTCAAATTAAGTCCTTTGAGAAGCAGGTCAATACTGCAAGATTGTACAGACCAGGTAGTCCTGTTTCCTCTGTAAAAAGTATAAGGGAAGCAGTGAAATGCTGTGCCTGGCTTTGTCATCTGTATCTCAGAAAGTATGTGAAAATTTGGAGGGTAATCAGAAAAAAACTGCAAGAGAGTTCAGTTTTCAGAAAACATTCCCTACCCTAAGGGGCTTAGAAACTCTTAAGCAGCTTAGGACTTAAGCTATTCACTTTATCACCTCCCTCTCTGGAAAAAAAAAAAATAAAAAAAAAAGAGGTTAGGAGGTGAGCACAGCTTAAACAGTGAAAAGATTTCTGATAGCTGATCCCTCTTTAATCTAGGGGAAAAAAAAAAAAACAAGGCCAAAGTACGAAATCCCTCGTAGCATGGAATCTAAGGAAATTTGTGACAAGGAAATTCTAACTAAAGGTATGGGAAAAGACTTTACCACTGTGACTAACCTCCAGAGCAGCTTACCTGAGCATGAGATGGATTTTCCATCACTTGAATATATTTTAACCCTGAGACAGAGTTGTAGGCTCCGCATAGGAATCGCAGGTTAGGCTTTTTTTGACAGGTGTAATGTAAGTGGTCAGTTGAGGTGACAGTAATGGCAACCTCTCTTTATTGTCTTATCCCACTGAAATTTTCAGGGTTTAGATTTGCTGGTGTTTGCCTTGTAGTGACTATGGGTAGCATTTTTTTCCTTTGCTGCCTTCTTCCTATTCACTCAAAACTAACACTTTTTTTTTTTTTTTAAATGAAAACTTTTGTCCACTTCTCTGTTCTGCTCTGGTGACTTCTCAGACTGAAACAAGCCAGGTATTTTTTCATTCCAATTTCAGTTACTTTTATAAAGCAACATTTATATGTGATGGTTTTGCATTAAAGTGAGCAATACTACTAGGAACTGACTGCTGTGGGTGCATGGAATGATTTGACATTGACGGGAGAGCAGGTTTGTAGTTTTTTACAGCAGATGAAAAGAGGATCTCCTGCTTACATCACAAAAATCAAAGCTAATTAAAGTATGTTTCCCCTATGATCATAATGCTGAATTTAATATGGCTCTGAGAAACTTCACAAAAAAGTTGTGTGAACAACTTCAGATACTTTCTAAGGGATATTCTTTACAGACATACCTGCAAATGCTTTTGCAACATCCTTCAGATGTTTTTCCAGTCAATTCTTGCCTTTTCTATATGACAGTTCTTACCTTTCAGTAACATCAAAAAATCTTTATATTTGTGCTTTCAAATGCTCCTCAAGGGTTCCTCTAACCCTTCACTTTACAGGTGGTGTTTGATTTTTGGCTTTTTATACAAATTTTTAATCATATATTGCCATGATGTCCTACTTTTTAATTCCATTTAAAAATATGGTCTAAGCACACAAGAAGAGAAAACTTTCAATATCCATTAACTGGTGTTAATTTCTCATTTGCCATAATGGATGCTCCTTCTTGGAATTTAGATTAGATCTGTGCAAGTATTGGATAATGACTCCTTAGGATAAACATTTGGTCTATTATTATGCATAGCACAACCATCTTCCTAATCAAGGATTGACTAAAAGTCATGAATATTCTTCTTTAGCATAATCATTGGTTATGTATCTAATGTATAATATGGTATGATAATGGTGCCAAAGTGGTGTTACAATGTGTCATAATAAGCACAACATAGAAACCTTCCTGAATGTATTTCACAACAATTATAAAATGCATATCACTAATTTATTTATGGAGGTCCAAATCGTCAAAAATTGTCAAATTCAGTCTGTTCTCACTTCAAAGTTTGCCACCCAATTCCATGTAATGAATGTTATTGCCAACCCTGTCCGAGTTAGATTACCAAGTTAGTTATGGCGATTACACTTAAAATCAGAGGGAGAAGAGGAACAATTGCCACCAAAGCTTGTGGGAGGGCTGTAAGGGCATTAATCTAATTGCTGCTGTTGTGGAGAAGGTAGGATGAGGCACCATGGACACCAGGCTGCCTCCCTGGTGAGTATTGTATCGGAGAATAACACCCCAGAGACAGCGGGGCTGGAGGGCAGGGACACACAGAGGTGGTGACAAACACTGTAATGGAGGGCAGACTTATGGGCTCAGTATTTGCTCATTGGAGGCAGCAGCTCAGTCAGGCCCATCCTCTCAGGGAAAACTCAAGAGAAATAAGATGAAAGCACACCCTGAGGCTCGGCACAGCCCCAGGTACCAGCCCCACTGCCCGCTCAGAGGAATTGCCAGCCAGGACGGGCACTGTGCCTCCCCCTGGGGCTGCTAACTCCTCTCCATCTTTCCAAAACAGCCAGGGAGATGCAGCACCTCCTGTCCCTTGGGCTGCCAGCTCCTCTCCATCTTTCCAAAACAGCCAGGGAGATGCAGCACCTCCTGTCCCTCGGGTTGCCAGCTCCTCTTCGTCTTTCCAGAACAGCCAGGGAAATGCAGCACCTTCTCTCCTTACAGAGGCAAAACAAGAAGCTAATTCTTGCCCACATCTTGAGTAGTTGGTTGTGAACCCTTGTGTTTCCACTCTGGTCACCTGTAATAACATGACAGAGGATGATCTTGCCTGGGCACCTCTCACAGATTCATCATGGACTTAAATGGCTTTTCTTCTCCCCGGTCAATGCTGATCGATAAGGTTGTGACTCCTGAGGCCACTCACACCTCATTTAGTAAATTTTCAAGCCCTTGTATGGAGGGTATGAAGTGTGTTAGTGTGTGTTTCTAAATCTCACCATGTCAAAAGTCTTTGGTTCATGACACCAGAGATAAGTAGAGAAATATAATTGGGAGCTTTTCTTCTGCTGATGGAGAAGAAGTGCAGATCCAATGGGCACAAACTGCCCCACCAGGGAGAGTTCTTTAGCTTCAGATATGAGTCAGATAAAAGAAATTACAGTAGGGGACAAAACAATTTGCCAGCCCTAAGCAGGGAAGGAAACAATGACAGTGAGTAATTTTCTGAAGTGCTTTCTGTTAGTTACAATTAAGGTTAATACACTTCAGCATATTGTCATCCCCCAGTACGATTATTGGTGTAGAAACTATATCCTGCCGTGTTTCTCTGTCTGCTTTTTATCATTCCTCTCCTCAGTCCCTATATGTGCTCTTTGTCACTGTTTTCCATTATTATTATTCTTCCTATCACTCATCTTCATTATCCTTCATTCAGTTTCTTATCCAGGGCTCCAGTATGCAGAAAACTCTCCTGAGTTCTCACAGGAAGAGAAAGATTTGGGTGATCTTTGTGAACCAGTTTTATGGTCGCCCAGCTGAGGGACAATATTGGTAGCATGAGAAGGGCGAGTGCCAGACAAAGTAATAAAACATTCTGTTGTTGTTTATATTTGTATTACCAAGTTGTGTGTCTGAAATTCTGACTTTAAAGTACTCTCAGGGAATGCATTCTTCCTTGAGCACGCTGGTATCAGTATGCAGCATGCTGTCAAATCAAAGCAGTTTTTCTTATCTCACTTGTATAAACAAGAGCACACCTCATTGCTCCCTTCCTCACAGCCATGTTTCAGGCAGAATCAAATTTTATTTTCATACTCAGCTGCAAATCATTGGCCCTTGGCAGTATGGAGGATAAAATACATCAAAACCAGATAATGCCACTGCTATGCAAATCTGCATATCTGGCACCTGTAAAATAATCAAGCCATGACAGAAGAATTTGGGATAAGGGAGGCAAGACAAGTTAGTATACATCAAATTATCCAGGAGCTAATACCTTTTTAAAATTTTCCTTGAATTCACCTTTTTTTTAATTATTTTTTTTTCATTTTTAGCTGTATTCATTATTCCTTTTATTTTAAATACAGACATCTCACTTTGTGGCACAAAGGGAGAAATATTGAATCACAATTCTTGTGTTTAATCACTATTTGTTGTTCCTGTAAAGCAGGGAAGAAGCATCCCCATGCACACCATGGAATACAGACCTCCATGGGCATGTATAGCATAACACTGATAAATACAAACATGGATCAGATACAGATGGAGATCGTTTTCCAGTGTCATGTATCCCATTATTAACTGCTCAGAACTTATAAATTATTAAATACCAGTAGAGATAGTGTGAGTTTT